TAGCACCTCTAGTAATGTATTTACTGAGAAAAATGGTGACGTGTTCAATACTTATTTTACCCGCTGTATCAGCTAAAAGCTAAAGGCAACAAAATCTTAAATTTAAAATTAACAAAAGGTTATCTAAAAGAGTAAAGTGCTGAGSTGGCTTCCTGCAATTAAGCTTTATCATGCGAAAGAGAGAAAAAGGTGAAAACCAGATCATCTGAAACACTAGTTAAATAAAATATTAAATCTGTGAGAAGCACTGAACATAAGTTGATACATAAAAATCATAGAGATCATGTACCAACAACAAAGACCGAGACACCTCTCAGTTCTCAGACAGACACTCCCCTCGGTGGTTTTTAAAAATAACTCTGACATGTGTTTTACTGCGACCTTCTCCAGCTGGTTCCGTCAGTCACAAACCAAAACAAGATGGCAGACTTCAGGAGCTGGTTCATCTTCCTAACAGGCAAGTTTAACGTTAAACACCGACGGCTCTGAAGTCTCGACACTGAATCGTTTGGATCAATCTATACCTCTGAATGTCTCTGACCCAAACTTAACTCTGTTACAGCATAAGGTGGACTGAATTTCTCCATGTTTATGAAAGATTGCAACCTTATTTTAATGCTTTCAGCTTTTTGTTTGAACTCTGTTCAGTTATTGCTGGCAGCTTGTTTGGGGCCAATACAGAGGTGAAAGTTACCATTCCTGTGGGGAGGTTTTTTACCTACGAGCTGATGAGAGAGACTTTCCAGAATGACTTTGAACCTTTGGCACAACTCTATGGTGAYTTTGGTTTCTTTTATTTATTTATTTATTTATTTTTAAAGGAAAGTGTTTTCATTCTGTTCGTATTCATGTGTGTTGTGAAGTTGGACACCTCTACAACGATCCCATGACATTTAAGTGCAACAAGCAGGGTTTCCCAGACCTCCCAGAGTGGCTGCGCTTCGTCCAAAGACACCCCTTAGATGATGGCTTCCTGTACGGCACCCCGACATCTCCGGGGAAAACTACAATCGAGGTCTGAGTTTTTAATTCTTTGCACTAACTTCATTAAGTGTGGAYCGGCTGTCGGATCTACGGAGACTAAAAACCTGGGACTTGAATTCAGCGGCTATTTTGAGCCAGTTTTAAAAAGAGAAAAGTGTTTAAATTAAATCAAACAAAATGTATTCATAGCTGAATATCACGCCATGTTTTAGGTTCAGTTTACAGCGTGTTTTATTTACGTGCTTAAACGGTTTAAACAGCTAAAAGTGCTGACTCAGCATTCGTGAAATAAGAGTAAAATCACAAAACTGACATAATATACGGGAGTGAACTTGATTTTTTTTTTTTTTTGTTTGTCTGACAGATTTATGCAATCAACAAACGCKGCTACGATACAGCCAGACAGATTCTTGTGATCAAAGTGGTTCCGGGTACGTGTGAACGAGTGATTGTAAGGTCAAATGAAAAGGAGCAAAAGGAAAACGMTTTGTCACTGATGTCTTCACAGAGAGGATGCTGCCATACCAAGCCGAGTTCTTCCTCAAGCTGAGGGAGGTTGAGAAGGTGCTGCCCTCTTCTGTTCAGGGCGAGATCAAGCAGGATTTGAAGTATTTGTGGAAGACGGACAGTTTGGAAATCGTCAACATCACCAACGCCCTGGACCGAGGTGGCAGAGTTCCCCTGCCTCTCGCGGGACACTACGAAGGGTGAGCATCTGTGCAGAAACAAGGCTCTTACGTGAAGTGTGTGTGTGTGTGTGTGTTTGTTAATGACCCCGATGCGTGTCAGCGTGTACGTGAAGGTGGGGTCGGAGAAGTTCTTCTCAAAGTGTCTGCAGCGCGTGTGGAAACCGGAGCACCAGAGGGAGTGTGCCGCGGCGTCCGGAGGGAAGACGAGCGGAGACTGCAGCTCCTGCGCGATTCCCAGCAACTGTATCACCTGGTGCAAGACGGAGCTGGTGAGACAGATGTTCAATCACCAGTAATAACTGGAATTAATGGGCCTCATGCAAGAACATGTTCGTATTCTTATCCTAAATTTATCTTACTTTTGTTCGTACAAAGGGTTCGTAAAAACATGCCACGTCAGATTCAACAAACTCTTCTATCTTCAGGAAAAATGTGTAAATGAGCTGCGTAATTTCCACCTGTTCGTGCACGCGAGAGGAGATTAGCATAATTACCACCCCCAAAAAACACCATATAAGGCTATGT